CGAAGTCTCGACGAGTCCGGATTAATGACTTTTGACTGTACAAATTAATATAATATTTGAATTTGAATCTGTGATTTTCAATTATATGCACGCATACCCTCATTTACATATGTATGCATATTACCATACACACAGGCATATTAGTATGGTTAGGTTATGTGAACATCGGAAAGCACACAGGAGGGAATGCCTTCATGGATTACATTCTAAGGCAAGCTGGTTCATAGGTTACAAGAGAGGAAACAAGAGAGGAAATTGAACAATTGTGCACCAGTGCTTGTGATTATTGTTGATTCTAAATTATACCATGTTTAGTTTTAGTATTAATGTATTTATATGTATTTATTCATAATATATTCGATTTAAATAACTAAGTAATAATATGTAAGTTTTTTTTTTTTTTGTGTGTGTGTATGTGTGTGTGCTGTGTAATATGGGCACAGCTCCTTTGTGTCATAAGATGAGCTTCACTCGTCAGGCGGGCCGGACTGCGTCTTAAATAAATAAATACCTTAGAAGCTGCTTAACCTTTATAAGAACAGAATTACAACTTTTATTTATGATCAATTTTACAAAATCCTTCCCCCTTAAGAAAATTTGACTTATACCGTTTCCTTGCTATAAAAACTTTAAAATAATATCATTTGTTTTATGCAATGCTTGAAGGAAAAAATGATTTTAATGGTAAAACAACAAAGAATTTAAAGCAGTTTACATAAATCAGCACTTTTAACATCAGGCACTGCAGATGACAAACTCTGATTTTCAGCATTGAGGCAATTAGACAAACTACAGATATGATGACAAATGGGCCCAAATAATGAACACCTCTCCCCTACATTCTAATCTCCTGCTTATTTTATGATTAAAAATTCTGAGGACTTAAAGCATTATCTTCATTGCCATGACCTCTAGCTCTTTCAGAGAACTTCTCTTCTGAATTTCAGTCGGTAAACTTTATCATGTATGTTATACTTATTTGGGTTACCTATTTATTACATTGTTCTTATTTCTGGTTTTATTTAGCACAGAAATTGCTTTACAATATTTTCTGCGTAAATTAATAGCAAATGCTTTCAAGTCACACTTTTTCAGTTTATAAAATGTTCCAGAAGAATGTCCTATGAAAAACCTATATAACATTTAATTAAAAACATATGGAAGGAAAAAAAAATTACCTTCGGCCATCTTACAGCATTGCCATTAGTAAATGCCAGTAATTGAGCAACAGTTGGTTCACCCATTTCAGTGTCTAAATTAAAACTAGCCTGACTCATAACATCATCATTTTGTGATATGCATCCCTGTAAAATTGCAATCATCTTAAAAGGAAGAGAATAAATAAAATTAAAAAAATAGTTTTACAATACTATTTTATTACTAAAAAAATATTACAAATATATACACGTTACTTAAAAGATATACAGTTGATTTCCATTAACCTTTTCACATGGGGTATAGACACTAATTTTTCACATACTGAAGCCATTTAGTCCAACTGTTCAATCAGCAAGGCATAATCAGAAAAATAAATCATCAGGATCTGCCATTTTCTGCTCCACATTAAGCAGCAAATTTTAGATCTCAATAGTACACTATATTTTTTTCCCAGCTTTATTTAACATAGTGAATGTGTTGAACATATATGTCCAAAATCCCAAGAAAAGGTTAACAGATACTCCAAGGGCCTACAGATAGTTTCTGTATCCCACAAACCCTGAATCAGAAGGGTGATATATTTCAGTTTAGTGGATAAGCTCTGACAGCCAAAAAAAGACTTCATTTTAATGAACATCTGGTTCAACTTAATATTACGAATAGTTATATATTATGAATAGTCATATTTAAATATAAAAACCCATTTCTTAATAACTACTAGAATGAATTCTAGTGAGTTCATCACTTTGTCTTTCATACATTAAAATATACCAATATTAAAATTTAGCATAAAAAATCCATTTCATAATATCTACTACAACGAATTCTAGTGAGTTCATTACTTTGTTTTTCATACCTTAAAATACTATATCCTACTCATATAAGAATTAAGCAACCACATGAGAATATGAAAGTTATGAGGTGAAAATATAAGTTTTTACACAGATAAAGCTAATTTCATGGTGAATTCTGTTTACACAGAAAGATTTTAAAAAATGTTTAATATTACAAAAGCACAATTAAAAAAAAATTTCTACTACCTTCAACAATCTAAAAAATCCCACTTTAACAACACAAGCATATTTGAAATGACTTTTAAGAAAACAATTTTCAAAAAAATTTCATCTGAAATCAGTTTTCTCATAGTAATATAAACCATAAAATAGAGTTTAAAACAGCAGTTTAAAAAATAATGAGATTCAGAATTTATTTAAAGTTACTGATTTTATAAATGAAATATCTAAAATACATTATAAAAACTATGCAATAGAGCAAATATATTTATGTAAATGTAGCTAAAGCTCAATTCATCCAATTTAAACAGAATATAGTATTAAGAAATATTGCTGTTCGTTATCTTGGTTAAATTTCTCTTGATTTTAATTATCCCCCTTTCACCTTCACGTGAAATTTAAGATCAAGTATTGACATTTTAATGCTATAAAATATATTAGACACCCTGAATAAACAATGATGCTAAGCTAGAAGAATGGGACTTCCAGAAAGCATTTGAATTATACAAAAATGCTAGCACTGATTTACTGCAGCATGAAGATTAACAACAAAAAAAAGGGGGGTAGGGAGAGCTATTTCTTTCTTACGAATTTTATTCTTGGAAATTTGTCAGTAAAGTATATTGCCTATCATACTTGCTCAAAGAACAAAAAAATATCTGCTGTTGTTTCAAAAGACTCTGGCTGAGTCTGTACTTCATGTCTGATGATATTCCAAATATTTTCAATTCACAAATATAGGGATTTAGTAGAGCATGTTAACATGCTGGTACAGAAGTATTATTTCATATACCATTCTAATGGAATACAGTGTACATCAATCATGAAGGGAAGTCACAGTTTCTAAAATCCATGAAAGTTGGTCTCAAACATACCATCAAGTAAGCACTAAATAAGACTGGCTAGCATAGCTCATTTCATCACATCCTGTGTTCAAGCTTTGTGTCTTTTGATGTGTTTGAATGGATTATCTGTTCTTTTCATTTCTACTATTTATATATGTACCTATGCATACTCAAAGCTTAAGCAAAAGCATGAATGGTTACAATTCATCCCTTGATGCCATACTGCATTTAAATTTATTAAAAACTGGCACACATCCAAGCATGAGTGACAATGAAGTAGACAAGGTGCAATGCCATAGTAACATTTTAAATTACTCAAGCATGGCACCAATTCAAGTACAAGGAGCTACAGTAACTAGTGAAAAAGGCGACACATGGAACACTGCTTTTTAAAGAAAATGAAAATCATCTGCTGAGTGAAGACCAAGATATCAAACAACAGAAGAATGGCTATCAACGTAATTGTGATATGCAATTAAATGAGCAGCATACAATGAAATAATTAGATAATAAGTTTCTATTCTGCTGGACATGAACTGGTTGTATTGATATTTGTCTGTTTACATGGCCTTCTGTTTTAAGTGTTAGTGTTAATGTTGTTAGTTTAAGTTTTAGAGAGTGTTAGAAGGATATTTTGAATTTCCATTTTCAAATGGGAAGTTGATTTTAGGAAAAAGTTGGGTAGCAAACAGGCATTTTTCATTTATGTCAAGACCAACAGTTACGCCAGATGGTTTTATGCTGGTTTGTACAAAAATTAAGGCAGAGAAGGAATGTAGAACTCAAAAATCAATTTGGCATGGGCCATGATTTTCAAGGCAGAAGTTATGGAGTCTCTGAAATATTGTTCTTAACACATTGACGTGGTCAGAGGGACAAAAACTGGGGATACTCAGGAGGAGTATTTTTTTCCTTCAAATACAATTACAGATTTGAGGCAGTTTATAAAAGTAACTATTTTTGGATTATTACACGGCTGTCATTAGAAATAATACCTGATAGTGGAAACACATACAAGTAAATTTGAATAGGCGAAATATAATAAGGAACAAACAGTTGAAGAGGAATGGGCTTTTGGAGGGACTGAGAAGGAATCTGACAAGATGTTTTTTAAAGGTGTTCACAATAGAACAAGAGCACATTATTGGGCATTATTAAGGAATGGATTAAATTGGGAACTACAATTTTTTTGGATAGTTGGAAAAGCTATGACTGCCCAAACAGGGAGAGTATGGAACATTTAAAGATAAACTACAGCTTGAATTTTGCTGATACAGATACTATAAGGCATATAATCATAATAGCGAGTACTTAGATGCATCTAAAAAGCTCCTTGCTAACACAATCTGCAAACAGACTTTAAATTTTATCTCACTTTTTGTATTTTGATTAAATCTTGATGGCTTTAACATGTTTCTAAAAACTATGATGTAAACTGGGCTAAATTCGAAATTTCTTTGTAAATTTATCAAGGTTTAAAAAAATGTTTCTTAATTGCCAGCATTTTCCCTCTTAAATTTTTTTCTTTTTTAATAATTCATGATATAAAACTTGTATCTTCAATTTTACAGCTTAAAACGTGTACTCTAAACATGCATTTTCAATATTCCTCCTTACAACATGTATGTTAAATATGCATTCTTCAATTTTGCTGTAGAAAATATATTTTAACATTCTAACACCATTTGTACTTAACACAAGTATTAAAACATTCATTTAAACTGCTAGTTATTATTTTACATGTTACTAGTTAAATCTGCATTCTAACTTATATTTTCAACTTTACTACTTAAAGCGTTTCTTAATTTTGATGTTTTTCCACAACTTGGCAACATTTTTTTTATCACCAAGCCAGAAAAATTGCCAATGGTCAGATGAGAGAGCTGCTCAGAGGCAATTATGATTCGTGTATATCAGTTACACACAATTTGATACATTCAGTAAGTTGCATATAATGCTTGCAGCCAGTTAAGTTGTTAATAATCAACAGTTGTTAATAATCATTCAGTAAGTTGTTAACAGTTGTTAATAATCATTCAGTAATCATCAGTTGTTAATAATCATTCAGTAAGTTGTTAATAATGTTGTGTAGAATGCCTAGAATCAATCAATATTCTAGGCATTCTACACAACATTATTAACCTTTCAAAAAAAAAAAAAAAAAAAAAAAAAAACTACAATTTAAGTTATAAAAGTGTTTTCTTTGATTGATATGCAAATATAATGATATACTTAACAGATTTTCCTTCATTTTAAATTACAATATGAGACTTTGATTATTTGCATACTTTAATCAAACATTTGTTTATGCAAATTTTCTACAATTATTTGTATATGCTGCAATTTCGAATTCACTCAGTATGCATAAACAGTCATCAACTGTTTAGATCTCTGTCTGAAGATCATAATTTTTGGTAACATTTTTTAAAGAACTTATTATCCTCGTATGTAAAATGAATATGGTTGCAATATGAAATTGTAACCAACAAAATAATCACGGAAAAATATAACATGCATGTAAGATTTACAACACATTACAGAAAAGCATAAAACTTTGAAATAAATTTTAAAACATACCTGTGAGTCATCCACATGTGAATGCAGAGTATCATCTTTAGATAACATTTTTGGGATATTATACTTATCTCTCAAATTATCATCCAGCAAAACTTCTTGTTTCACTTGTAATACTGATTTTACAGAGATGTCATCTTCTGATTTTTCTATTTTAAATGTCCTTTCCCTTTTAATAACAGAAGAATCTTCATCAGCAACTTGCATAGTTTCATAATTACATTTAGATTCAGTATCAGTATCACAATCATATTTTTGATCATCTTTTTCCTGCTCATCATGTGCTGGAGATAACACTTGTAGATTTTTTACCTTTGTAACAGGCAAATCAGCATTTCGCTCAAGTACTGGCATTTCATTTTGAACATCTTCCTCATCCTTACGCAGATCTGTTTCGATATCAGTTTCCTCATCTTCTAATTTAATCTCATCTTCCTGTTTCAAATCTCTCACTGAAACTCTCCGTTCTTCTACACTCAAATCTTCTTTTCCCTGTTTGCCATCAGTAGCACTTAAAAGCATAGCTTCATTTTCATTTTCATTTTCAAGTTTGATTTCAATTTTAGTAGAATTATTTTGAGGTTTTAAATCAGAATCTTTTGATTCTTCTACAGCAGCTTCATCAATGATAATTTCTTCATTTTTAGAAAACTCATTTATTTGCTTACTATTTTTTATCTGAAGATCATTTGCCAAAATACCAACAACTGAGTCATTCACTGAATATTTTGATTCTTTACAATTGGAAGCATCTTTAACTTTATCAGAATTTTCAAAATTTGCTTTCTCTGGTTCATATCCAGCATCACCATGAACTTGCTTTAAAATAGTTTCATCTCTTACAGAAAATTCATCAGAAGAAATAGGTAGCTCCTCTTTTAATTTACGAATACTTTCTTCTTTAAGCAACATATGATCATCTGTGTGATATATATTTAGTGGACTCGAACAACCTAAAAATGAAATATAAGAATTTCAGGTCGATTTTAGACTAAATGAAAATATATAAATAAATAAAAAAGCAGTTAATCATTTTCTTCCCTTCCATTTTTATATAAATGACTTTTAATCTTTAAAGTAAGACATTAACTTTCTTTCTTTAGCTTCTTTTTAAAATAAAAGACATGGATGTTACATTACTTAAGATAAAAAAACCGCTTAAAACTCTACAAGTAATTATGTAAGTAATTATAAAGCCATGAACTGATGAATTACATCCAAATAATGCATGGTAAATATGCAGAGTGTTTTAATCTTGATTTAAGATTGAAAGTGACATTTGATTCCTTACATATAAAACTCATAAAATAATAAAGAAAACATCTTACAACAAGATTTTTTTTTATTAGACAACTAGCAAATACCTGTATTTTCGGAAGGAAGTGTGTGTGTGTATTGAGAATACGGCAAAGCACACTAGGGCTATCTGCCTAAGGGGAGGGATGCCTTTCGTGGAGGACTTTCTAAGGGAAACCGGCTCGTATACACGTTACACATGGGGAAAACCACGAAAACGCCCATGCAGCCAGCCTGTTCACGGGATTCGAACCTCGGACCGAACTACCAGTGTTCAGCAATTTTACCGCTCGGCCGCTGGTGGGCCCTTTTCGAAAGGAAGAAAACTACTTTTACAAAGAAGGTACAGGATTCAGAAAAGGGTTTTAAAAATCTTCACACAAAAAAATATTGTTAATGAAAAAATAAAACATAAAAGTAGGAAAAGTCACTTTATACAGCACAGCAAAGTATGTGTCATGCCATCTTCACACTGAAGATGCAGGATGGGAAGGAGAGAAAGTCCCCCCCCCTCAGTCACTAGGTTATGCGAAATCATAATATGACATACTAAAGAGAAAAAACATATACAAATCAATAGACCTTTTATTTTTGTTTTATAAAAGGAAGAACACGTGTTTCATATTCATTGAGAAATGCAAGATGTTACATGCCACAGATTTTCTGAGTTTGGACTTAAAATATGATGAAAATATAAAGAGTAAAACCTGCAATCTATTTTTAAACAATTGCCAAAAAACAGTAATCATTCAAAATACATTTTGTTTGGAAAATCATTTACCGATCTATCCAGTGGTCCAAAAGACTGAAATTCTGCAATGACTACTTTGACTACGAATAATGACTGTGAAGAAACATGCAAAATATTGCTTCAAACATTGAATAAAAAAATTTGATGTGTACATCACATGACTTCCTTGTACAGAATATTAAATTATATGTATTTTTTCTTGCATTTCATTTAAACTTATTGGATTGAATTAAATCTACTTCGTCGATAACGCATAAACCACTATAGAATAAATGCACTCTTTAAAATTCACTATATTTGTTTACTATAGTAACACTCTGGTACTAGGTTCGCTTAACAACGTTACATTTCATTCATTTTAAAACTCAGAATGCACAAAATTTATATCATCTGAATTATCTAATCACTGTCACATGTTCTATTCAAATACTATAATAAATCTAAAATGATGTATAAAAAGAAGTTAAACAAGCAAACAATCAATCAAACACACAAACAAACAAACAAACAAACAAAAACAAAAAAAAAAGTTCTCACTTCGCAACACGGCAAAAATACAGAAAAACTCAAAATATATAAACTAAAAATTACGAAGTAAATCTTAAACACTTATTTCCTCCAATAAATTCCAGAATGGATTAAGCATGATTTAATTCGCAGTAATAAAAGAAGGCATTACCTTTGTTATCGCCAAGCTTAATTTCTCTAGATTGGGCACAAATCCACTATTCTGTTAAGTTTCAAATGTAATCAAACATGGCCGCCATGTTAAAAATACTTACACTCAGCGGCACTTAAACAAGTTTTAAATTGTTGATAATTCTACAAATATTGCATGCAGATTTACTAAAGGCATTATACCTTAACCGGAAGACAAGAGCAACATAATTCAATCATTTTTAAACCAAAAAATGCACAATTTACAAACATATACGAATATAGAAACTAAGATCACTGAATCGAGTAACAAAGTAGATATATATAATATATACATATATTTATATACTTTTGGTGCGGCCGATTGCAACCAAAATATTAGGTGCATGTCTACATGTTATAGCAGTCCTACACACAAAATTTCAATGCTCTGAGGCTACTTGTTTTTGAATTATGCGAGATACGTGGGTACATATGTATGTACTCACGAATACCAAGAAAAATTCTCTTCAGAATATATTTTAAATCAGTTTTATAATTTTTTGGGGGGGAGAGAAAGAGTCCTTTATTCTATCTTATATGCAAATGTCACACAAAAACATCGTTAAATTGCATTCGATAGCCACCAAAATGGATATTTTCGTTGAAATATGATACCCAAAATTTTTCGCCATTACAATACTTCCTTTTTACTTCGTACAAGGAATTAAATGAAATTTTCCTTCATAATTTTATTAAAAAATATGAATTTAATATTCTTTTAAAAATTTTTATCTAATGAACATATGAACAAACTTAGAAATACATTCAAAATGCTATTATATGCACCTAATTTGTATTCAATGAGTGTAATAGGGGAAGGGGAAAAAGGCACTTACCAAAGAAAAAAGTGGGATGAATAATAATTGATTATGCTTTGTGAACATAATCACAATTTTCTTCTAACTGTATTCCTTCAATGAATATTTTTAATTGCTTAAGAAAAATACACACACAAAATCATATAAGCATGTAAATAATTTGATGGAATTATTTCTCTATCAGTAAACTGCAAATGAGAGTGGTACAGTACAAAGTCCGAGATCCAGACTTAGGCGATTCCGAATTTACAATTTTTCGGAATATTAGTTCATCAGTTTAATGCTTGCAAGAAGGCATGTAGAAATTATAAAATTAAAAATATGAAATCTTGATTTAAGAAATAATGAAGCATTTATGATCTAAAGGTTATCAAAATTTAAAAAAAGATTAATATTTATTTGTTTACTTTATTAAACATTTCTTTCAAAGCAAGTTGTTTAAGTTACTTTTGTGTATTAATATTTTCTCTTCCGTAGACAGACATAATAATATTTCTTATTCAGTTACAAAATTCCACTGTTATAATTGCTGTGTCAAGAATTCCAACTAACTTGTCAATCGAAATTTTTTCATTTTCAATAACTTCTGTGTCACTTTCTTCACTATCAGTAGTCGTATTTTTTAGATCTACACTAATTGATTTATAATTAAGGCAATGTCACTGCAATGAAAAACTTTCATTACATTACATTTATTAGATTCATTACATTTCATTTCATTCATATCATTTTCATTTATTACCGCTTCTCCGCATTTCTTTAAAAATTTCATTAATTGGAAAATTTAATCTTTGTTTCACAATATCCCAAAACTTTCACATTCGCGGCTATCATATTCATCAACCTCACCCTGAAATATGCTAGCTAGCCATACATTATGCCAAGCATTTTTTAAAATACCTGGAGATATATCCTTCCATGATCTTGCGATGCTCCACAAAGCAGATTTTATGCTAAAATATTTCAAACAGTGTTGCCATTATTCAAGAAATTTAACATGGATTTTAAAAATTCTACTTTATATTTGCATTTCAGCGCAAGCACTATTCCGATATCCATAAGCTGAATGATGCACTGACAATTTGAAGGAAAGAATAATGCATATACATTATCTTTCAATAAGTGAAGTATGAGCCAAATAGTTATCTACAACCAGGACAATTTTTGCATCATCAGGTAAACCAGCCAAATTCTGCCGAGCCTTGGGTATAAATTGCATACTTGCCAACCTATGACACTCAAAAATCAGGAGATTTTTTTTAAGAAATCGGGAGATTTTTCACAATGTTAAAAAGACTTTTTAAATAAGGAAAATATAGTTTTTAATAATGAATTAACTTTAAATAGTAACTAATTCTTAAATGCAAGCAACACAAAAATACCTTACACATAAAAAACATTTTTATTACTTGCATCGTTTAAGAAAACAAAAAAAAAAAAAAAACCCTTTAATCAGTTTTTGTACAAATGGTATAAACAGTGGCAGATTTTGCTTTCTTTAAGACAGAAACTTCATAATTTTGTTCATAGCAATTGCCACGTAGGCCTGCTTTCACTAATAAAAGTTTTCTAATGTGTCATCACTAATATTAGATCTAAATTTAGTCCTCATTTTCGCAACAACACTGAAAATCCTCTCACACTCTGCATTACTATGGGGAACTGTCAAGATGGCCAACATAATTCTAGACAGTTCTCTATATTTTAAAATTCCATCAGCATCTTTCAGTTTTCCAATTAAACTCCACTGGGTGCCAATCCTAGCTGATTTTATAACTTCATCCAAGTTTTCTAATTGTACACTGCTATTATGCAGCTGTTGGACCTGTTTTAATTTTTCCTCCTTTTTAGAACTCCTTTCAAGATTATAATAAATAAACAATGTGTTCACCCACATTTATTGGTAAAGAAGCTACTCCTTTTTCAGCTGCTAAATTTAAGAGGTGTGCACCTCATAATCTGCAAATCTGAATTTTTCTTTCTGAAGATGCCTGCAACACCAGTCTTCAAGCCTACCAATACTGGTGCATTATCGGCACCTAGTGCTAAGCAATTATCCAGAGGGACTGCATTTTCTTTTAAAGTTTTTATAATTAGCTGTGCTATATTAAAGCCTGTCAAATGTCCTTCCAAAGTGGGGACAGAAAGTAAACTGCACTAAATTTCTGAAGACTCTGGATTAAAAAAAGAAACAACAATTGGATACAGTTTTGAATCGGTATTATTGCTTCCATCCGTAGAGAGGCAGAACGGAGCTGTTTTAATGCGATCAATAACTGAAGATTTATTTTTCAAATCCATTTCTTTAACAATTGCACTTAAGTATTTCTTAGCGATTTCACTATCAGGAAACAATTTTCTAAATAAAGCTGCAGTGTGATCCGATGCATTCAGTGGCAGGTTGTGCTCCATTAAAAAGGCAGAGAACAGACATTCTGCATTAATAACTTTTTGGTTTTTTGTTTCTGAAGAAAAATTTAATTTTTCGTTTTTTTTTTTTTTTTTCCAAAACAGCTCATGTTGCCCTTGTGTTTTTGTGGTGTACGCACATGTTTGAGACCACCCGCCCTTCCACCATGCGAAATCGAAAAATCGCAACGACAGGCGGTACACATCGCAAATTTATTACATTTCCTTGAGGAAATAATGGAAGGAAAGTCAACTGTGTACGATTTTTGAAACGTAAATGAGTATTTCACCTTTCTCGCAGACATAACAAAAGATGATAATTTCTAAACTATTCCCCAAAGGCACGTGTACTCACACAACTCAGGACAAAATGACCAAAATAACTAAAGAACATCCAAATAACAGCTTGTTTTGTCCTCATTGGCTAATATATGCCAGATGACACGCAGTTGAGCACGATACCCATTGGAGAACTGGAGAAGGACGTTTCTGGATACGTATATGCTCTTACTCACAAAGAAGAAGTTATCTAATTCGCAAGGTTTTGTTTTAGATATAATCTAGAGAAAATTCATTTGCTTTGGACGTCCAAAATCACTTTTTTTGTTCATATAACAAAGTATTAAGCCAAGTTCCATAAAAATCGTGAGAAATTTTAAGAATAAGAAAAAGTCGGAAGAAATATATTGTAAATCGGGTTGGCGGGAGAGCGGTCGAAAATCGGGAGAGTTGGCAAGTCTGAAATTGATTTTCAAACCAAACATTCATTAACACTTGTGTCATCTGTGTTTTTTTTATTTGCAGGATATATAATGGGAAACTTTTTACTTCTTTACATACTCGAAGTCGTGCATTTTTTCCAATTAAGGAAAGGTTACATTTGTACCTTTCCTGCCGCATCTGCACATGCTAAAATTGCGAATCTCGCTTTGGAATCTTTGACTCGAGTTGGAACCTTTTCTGTAGAGGTTGCCAAGGTATTTTGCCGTATATATTGCCAGAAAAGACCAGTTTCATCAGCGTTGTAAATTGGTTCTGGAAAAAACGTTTTTAACTATTAATGAATTCAATAAATTCATCTGCAAAATAGTTCAGCACCTTGAGTATCAGCTGAAGCTTTTTTACCTGAAATTCTTAATTCACTTATACCATGGCGATTTTTAAACTTGGTTGACCAACCTGTCGGATATCTGCACTCAATATTTTCAAGTTCATTTCTTAGCAAAATATTTTAGCTTGTGCCATTAGCATTTGACCCATTAATGGGACATTTTCTTTGTGACGCTGTCTGACCCATTCAATTATTACTTTGTCATGATCTTCACTTTTAGCATAACGAATAATTTTTCTGTTATTCGTTGTAAGCAAGGTGCCAGAATCCACAAAAAATTCCGAAAGTTCCTTTTTCTGTTATCTTATGTCACATGCAGTTGACTTTCCAATGTCATACTCCTTGCATCATTTTGAGACGGATATATACATATCTTCATCCATTTTTTTGCAGCAATTCCACATTTTGCATAATGGACATTGAAATATGCTTTTTCTTTGTAGATCCTGTTGGAACTTCAGAATTAGAAACTCTTTTCGACATAATCGAAAGTTCAAGCTTTAGCTTTCATAAAATTGCTGTAAAAACAGCCTGCAAAAAATAATTAAGCTAGATCAAATCAGAAATTTAAGGAACAGTGCAATATTAGCAGAAATTCCTTGGAATCGGTAAAGTATAATTTTAGCCTAGCACACTATACATTAATGGCTATGTATCAAGAGATTGGGGACGAAAGGCAATTTATTCCATTAAATTTTGTCTTGCTTCTATTGCGCAATGATACAAGCCTGATTATATTAGTTTAGTTATTTATTATACTTAAGTCTATTTCTTAAGACTTTTTGAGGGCTGGTGCTAGATATCTTAACGCCTGATGCAAACTCTGCGGGTCCTAAATTCTGCTACCAAGTGCCTAAGTTCTAAATTTTGTATCACAGTACCTTTCCTGATTTCTAAAAATATTTTCATCCTTTAACTTTGTTGCTCGGTGCTTCTCTAAATTCAAAAAATCTTGTCTTCGGTGAATTCTGCAGCTCGGTGCGGCCATACGAGTCTGGCACTGGTTCTGGGTTTACGTGAAAAACAAATCAGTTCTTAATTCAAACAGCACTAAACATAATTTTTGGTCTATGAATATCATCGATAAAATCTATTTTTAGCATATGGAAAGAAACTGCTGCTAAATTTTTTTTATCAATATTTCTTAGCGCATTTAACTTAAATCTCTAATCATTGCCAAGCATAAGAATGTCAACATAAAAGGTTACCATACTCTTTGTACTAATATAAAAATTTACTAATATATATAAATATATATTATATATAAATGTTTGGGTATTGCTGCATGAGTGATTGTTCAAATTGTCATGTGTTGATAAACATGCATTTATGAAAGCAAAACTATAATAACTAATGATTCGCCAGGAATATAAAATATAAATACATATACTATATTATATAAATATGAAATACTAGTACTAGGAATATAAAATACTAGTAGGAGTAAAATTAACCATGTTTCTATATTAAATGTTTCTGTTTGAGATGGAAGCTACGGAACCAAATTATTGCTCACACAAATTTATGCTAATTAATTGTTTCTTCACATAATGAGATGTTTATTTAGTGCCGAAGGGAAATTAAGAATAAGGACTCTCTACATGTTTTATCTACCAGGTGTGTGTGTTAAATGTGCATGTGTAAAGCATTTATATATATATATGTTGTATGATCTTAAATTCATTTAGTGCGAAAACATGTTACTACTACTTGTGCAATTGCTGCAAAGTAAGTTAATAATAATTTATTTACTAAATAATATTGATTAATTGATTATATTATCTCCTAAGTTTAATTATAGTAGGAATTATCTTAAAAGAGTGAATCCATACTAGTAAGTTATATTTTGAAAGATGTTTTGAAGTAACTTGAAAGTAAAATGTTAAAAATGTTTTAACGGGGACTGGAATTAAATCATGAATAACAAAATTTCAATTGTAAAAGGAATAAATTAAAGGCAAGAATTAAATTAAATGCATGTAATCATTGTCATTGATCGGAAATTAGTTGACTTTTCAAGGGGAACAAACCAACTCCCGTTCAATGAACAATAATTAATAAATAAATACGAAGGTGTTTCGTCTTTACTCGAGCAATAAGGCTAAGCCAAACCGGCATTTCAAGTCAGGCCAAATATTTCCTTGAATAGAAGGGATTATGAACCAATGCTGATATTCAAAGAACTTATTCCCATTAAGCATTTTAGGCAATTCAATTTTGAGTGAAAAACAATTTCTGCAGTAAATTTCGATAATGCTCGAGTAACCGTCCCCCGACACCCTCGTGTTTATGCATTTGAGTTCAATATTATTTGTAAAAATTAAACATTGGAAATTGTCCTTATGAAATAGAATTCAACGCAGTTGAAAAAAACATTAGGAAATTACAAAATATAAGATAAATAATGCAAACTTTGTAAAAATAAATCAAAAATAATATAAAAATAAAAAATATAATAAGAAAAGTGAATGTACATGAAGATATAAAGGCCAGAAAAAGTATTAATTAACTTACTTTCTTTCTAGTGGGGAGTGGGCAAAGTGTTCCTCTTCGCGTCTGACTCAGAAGTGTAGTGTTTCCGAAAATTCTTAGCGGCAGCGGGGGCTTTGAATTGGCGGTTAAATTTTAAAAAAATAATAATAATAATAATTATTGGCGGTTCTGAGGTTCGTATTTTAGATCATTCTGGATATTGGACGTCCAGATCTCAGACTTTGTACTGTATTTATTTTTGTAAGGTGGAGAATAAAGTTTAAACACAGTTTACTAATTGAAAGCAATAAAAATTACTGTGTGATAATGAATGAGTTAATAAAATATAATAATTCCATTCTGTATACTGAAGATTTTTAATAAAATTTAAAATACAGACTTCTTACAACAAAAACAACTTACCAAGTGGATTAGATAACATACTGCCTATCTGTATAGTTTTTGCATTTGGATAATTTTTTAATACATCCTTAAAGGAAAGATTAGGATCATGCAGTAAATGATAGTCCATTCTGCTTAACCCATGCCTAAAATGAATAAAATATGTACGTTTCAGTAAAAGCAGTATTTTTAACGCAGATAAAATCATGTAACAGCATATGAAACATGCTGGTTAATCTATTTTAAACACGGATGAGTATTTATTCAGCAGCAAATACATGAATATTTTGAAAACAATCTTTATTAACAACTACATTATCGTCACATTCTGAACTTGATCTATGAATTATAAATCACAAGAAAAACAACTCCCCCCTTGGGAAAAAAAGTTATGTAAGGTATATTAATTAGTGACCGAGTGAAATCTTATTTCCTGTTCTATACAAATAATTAACCTCCTGAGTTGCATGACCACCTTTATTTGGTCATGAGATTTTTTTTTTTTTTTGGTGTGTGTGTGTGGGGGGCTTATTTCGCATACTTTAGATCATAAATTAAACTTTCTATTACTTTCTTTAATAATGTAAATATCATCTTCATGAATGGAAGTTTATGAAATCTAAACTAAGCAATTATAAAAATTTAACTAAGAGAAGCTGTTTAAATGCAGAGCTTCATGAGCAGATCCAAAAAGCTGTTCCAGTAAACGGATCATTATGCACATACGGTTTCTTACTGAAATTTTTATGCTAATATGCAGGAATAAATCTTTCAATAAAGTTAAACAGGCTTCAAAAATACAGCTAATGCATTGCAAAGCACTGTGGAGACACTGACATTCATAATTTGTAATTTTAATATTTTTAATAGTGCTGAAGTTTTGTTTCAGGTATTAATATATTTTAATTTTAGATGCAGATTTATATTAATGTCATATTCTTCAATGTATAGTAAAAATCTTCTCTTTTTCATAAATTTCAATAAAAATGAACGAGAACATTTTAAAAGAAAGGTAGATATCTTCTCATAAAAAGAAAAAAATCATCCCCACACCTTCAAACTTGAAATTAAACTAATTATAATGTAGCAACTAACTAAATTAAATGTAGCAACAACTAACTAACTTAAAGCAGTTAAGCAACCCTTTCAAAACTTGAAATTAAACCAGATACTAAGAACCTAACAATAAAAGAACTTGAGCTAGAGCTTAATCACACTGAACATAAAAAAGGAAATTTTGTTACCGTAATCATACAAAATAAAGCTTTAAAACCTTAATTACCTGACTGCTAACAAAAAAATTTAATGAAGATATGAAAAAAATTTAATTTACATGAATTTACTCGCATGAAAACAGTTTTTCGTGACAGAGTTAAAAAATTTTGCCATATTTTTAGATACTAAATAAAAAATTTAAGAAACTGATTTTTAGGACTGCAGTAATAGTTTTATCTTTTACTACTGAGGTGCACATGTCTTTTCCCTTACATTTAACTTTAATCTTTTCTATTATTTATGATACTCGTGTAATGCAACTTCATTTAACATAAACTAATTATAATGTAGCAACTAATTATATTAAGGGAGATTTTTCTAGTATTCCCTTAAGAAAGTTAAATTTTTCAAGACCATGAATACAAATATTATAATATGAGCACAACGCTACAACTTCTATGATATATTTTTTAATGCAAAGAAGATATTACATCTAAAACTTTTATAATAAAAAAGGGGGTGGGAAAAGAAAAGCATTTACACCATTCGCAAAAATGAAATGGAAGAGAATTAATTCAAACGCATTTTTTATACCAGAACTTTAAATTGAATAAAAATAAAATAACACATTTGTCTATTAAAAATAAATCTAAAAGGTATAATTTAAAAGAGAGGGAAAAAAATAATAAAAATTTTATTAATATCAAGCTTACACTGAAATACTTACAGTTATTTATTACTTTTTACAAGGGAAATTAATACATTCTACATTCTCAATGCATTGCAATATGCAAAGATTGACTCTTAAAGCAGTTAAGCAATATAAATTTTAAAATAGTGTTTAATAAAAGTCTATTAAATAATAACAGCACAATGGTCTTCTTGAAGAACTCTTTGTTATTTTCAATTTACACTCACCCCAATCTTCCACAATTTTAACAATAATAATATAACCACTCATACTGGACAGGTAAATTACAATATAGGAGCATTTCTATTCATTAAACTGACCATTACTTGCTGCTTCCAATAGAACATAAACATACATTTGTATAAGTATGAGTGTGCATCCCTCCAAGCATTATGACGTACAACAAACATACTTAATATTAAAAAAATATTTAATCCATTAATGTGCCAGCAGTGATTTATAAACAACACACTTACTTGGCAGCACCAATTAAAAGATCCTTATCATGCTTCCCACAAATCCACCAATCAGGAAGATCCATCGATGGTTGGCATAATTTTAATCTTTCATCTAAGTCTGGATGACATAAAATTTCTTCCCGAATTTTATTGAGTAATTCAACCCTTTGTAAACATCTGCTGGCTCGTTCTTCAGATATAGGCTCTACATTCATTGAAAGTTGCTCTGTAAAAGGAAAAGAACTGCATAAATTTTTTACAAGGACAAAACAAAAATATACAATAAAATCTTAAATAAATAACACTTTTTATGTTGTTATAAACAACTTCAGATTTATGACCAGTTTATAAAACTTTTATTTGAGTCCTGCATATTTGCAAATTTCACATAAAAAAGCAAGCGTGTAAATACAAGGGTTGGAACTTTAATAGTGGCAACACAGCTGAAAACACGCTACGCAACAAAACCAAAGCATATCGCATATACCACACGTAAACTACATACCTACCTTACCTCTCAGCAAAAAGACTCGTCCTGCCTACGTCACACGCATGCGGAGTGACGCGAAGAATGGATCCTTGTATTAGCTCGCGGTCTAAAGTAAGTGTTGTCAGGATGTTTTCAAAACAAGAACAACGATGTTGGATAAAAATTGAATGTGCCAGAAGTCGTACAGCACGACAGTGTCATCAAGGGGCTTGCGGGGAATCTGCATTGCATTACAGAACCGTAGCAAGATGGGTGAAAGCATTCAATGAAGGACGCCAAAATGTGGCAGACATGCTGCGGTCAGGTCGTCCGAGTGTCAGCGATGCAGACGTGCAAGCTGTTGCCGCACTAATGGACAGTCATCGCGGCCAAACGATCCGTCAGCTGGCTGGACAAACAGGATTAGCGCATACGACTGTATACATTCTGAATGTACATTCTGAAGGAACGCCTGTCCATGAGAAAAATTGCTTCACGATGGGTTCCACATCAATTGACAGAAATGCAGAAATGGCTACGATACGATGCTGCCCTAATCCACCTGGAGCACGAAGGAGATGCTTTTTTACGCCATATCATTACGCCAATCAAACGAACGGCGTCATCACGGGTCACCACGACGTTCGAAATTTCGTCAGAACGCCAGCAATGTGAAAGTTATGGTGATTCTCATGTACGACTGTGATGGTGTCATCCTAACGCATACCGTTCGACCACAGCAAACAGCAAACCGTCACTGCGCAGTATTACTGCTCATTTTTGGAGCACAATCTCCGACCAGCTTTGAGAAAAAAACGGCGACACTTTCAGCAGAACGCTCCTCTCATTTTGCATGACAATACTCGGCCGCATGCAATGCAAGCTGTGACTGATTTGTTCAAGCGATGGGGCTGGGAAGTGCTTTACCATCCACCATACTCCCCAGATCTAAGCCCTTGTGACTATGACTTAATTCCTAAAATGAAGGAACAACTTCATGGCACTCGCTTCCAAACTGTTCCTGAGATTCTTGCGGCAGTAGACCAGTCCATTCAAACTATCAACAAAACAGGCGCTGCTACAGGTATTCTGTGACTTCCACATCGTTGGAAACGGGTTGTACACAATGCTGCCGACTATAGTGAAGGACTGTAAAACATGGTGACATGAATCACTTTTGTATTCCTTGTAAATAAATAGTTGCCACTATTAAAGTTCCAACCCTTGTACTATAGGATTAAATAAGTAAATGATTCAGAACACATGACCTAAGATGAAATAATGCTACATGAAGCATATGGAAATCCCACATCAAAATATCAATACAAAGACAATTATGACAACAATTAGAAGTTATGTGAGCCCCTACGGATTGTTAAGGAGCCTCAGCATGGGATCTGAGCATATACTAGTAACATAATAAGGTTCAATAGGAAAAGGTGGGAATATATGATAGATATTTAGACTACAATTTTGCAAGCTTATTGGTTTCAAAGACTGGATCGTATAACAGCTATGCTATAAATAAGCAAGAAATTGAAAACAGAAGCTTAGAACTAATGACTATCTCTCTCTTTATCATACACATACACAAAAGAGCAGGAATCCAATTTACTAAAACTGCACAACCTCAGAATTCACATTACCTGAAAAAATATTCACCTGGAATTCCTAGCTATAAACACTGTTATTTCTGATGGAAGTATCAGTTAAAGGCAGTGAAAAAAATTCAAAATGTGCAGCAGAAAATGAAGGAAATTATTAGCTTTACTTTAAAAAAAATAGACACATCATTTTCCACAAAAGAAAATAAATTGAAAATTTTAAATCAAGTAAAAGTCTGCTGCAGACAATTGTCAAGAAATGAGCAACAGAATAATTTAGAATTGTTCCCTTCCATGCAGTTCCCAGTACTGCCATTAAAAATGACCCAAACAACTGGAAGTGGAATTTAATGCCAATTTAAAATTGCAGTAAGGAATTGGAAGATAATGATTGCAAAAACACTGGAGACATAGTATTAAACTGAAAAGATAAGAGATCAATAAACGAGGGGGAAAAGTCTTGATGTCACTTTAAGATAGCGTAATATACTAGGTAATTTGAAAGCGCTTGAGGGCTTTCAAATTACCTATAAATAATAAATTTCAAATATTGAAGAACTGTGTAATGACTTATTGCAGAATTCTGTAAGAAAATGACAAGTACAAGGAAGGTTAAGTTATCCTTTATTTCAACTCAAAATAAATTAACAGATAGCCCCTTCTCAGGCTTACAATAAGCCACAACCTGGGCTTTAACTCAAGATAGAAAATAAGAACTAATCTAATACTAACTAAAATAAAACTAGCCAAAGCTGCATAGAATTAAATAACAGAGTTAGCCCTTATTTAAGATTACCCGCGAGTACTAGCAGGCACGTAACAATACGGCCTTAGACTGGCAGCATCAATGTAGCCAGAAGGCAGACATGCACTTCTAAGCTCTTCTAGTGAAGTGATTCAAACTTCAACACAAATACTTGTTTCTACCTCATTTACATAAAACATAATCTTAAAAACTCATTCCGGCAGGGAATCGTAGGGGGTAAAGAAGAAAGTAAAGGAAAGGAAAGACTTGTTAAAAAATAAAAATAACAATTAGAAAATTAAAATAAACTCCTAAAATACGAATGAATGATTCTGAAAAATGCTTGATTCTGTACATCACTAGGTATGATTATGTCCATTCATATTAAATACAATTTTTAACAATAACTCCTATGAAAAATGATAAAATAATCTTGACAGGTATGTGAATATATTTACATTAATTATGTGCTTAAAATGTAAAATAGTAGCCCTTTTTTAGTGTTAAAACTGAATTTTAGTATTACCAATATACAGGGAGTTTTTATGCATTTTTTTAACGATTTTGATTTTTTCCATGAATTTAAATATAAATTTTAAAACATAAGTGTGACCGTCATCAAATAGGAATAAGGTATAATTATCATTAAAAATTCATTATTCAGCATTAAAAATATTCCTTTCTTTAAAATGTTATTTAAAAATAAACAATAGATCGAAGACTATATTTTTGCACTGTCTGAAGAGAAATACTCTTATTCAATTATTTAAACAAAAAGATGTGAAAAGCATGGTTTTAATATTTCTACATGTAAAATACATGACATAATTTATATGAAAAGAAAGAAATGCCAAAGTTTACATCTGACGAGGAAAAAGGCAAAAAAGCAGCTCTTATTAAATCTTTTAGTCGCATCTCATGTTTTAAAGGAAAATTCAACCCCCCCCCAAAAAAAAGAGCTACTGCACAATCTTTTAAATATTTCTGTAAACTGTGAACAAAATTATTTACTCTCATTTAAAGCTAATAATAAAAAATAAATAAATAAATAAAAACACAACATTCATCGCCTGAAGGCGAAACATGTTTCTCAGCTTAAGACTATGCACAGATTGCTGTATGAAAATTATTTGGCAGGTGAAAAATGGAAATACATAGTAACAATTGATAAGGCTTGGATATATTTATTTGATTGTAATAGAAAAAGATCAATTTACTAACGAAAAAGAGGAGAAAAAGACTTAAAATGTTGGTTCAAAGAAAACAAAGAATGTTCTAAAGATTTTATAGTTATTACTGGATTCTCTCGTAACGGAAAACTTAAAATAAGGAAAGCAGAAAAAAATTTCAAAATTAAATCAGATTACTATAAGAAATATGTTTTAACACCTGTTTTTAAAGAAAAAATTCCACCTCTTTATCCAAACAATCTTCACTGCGATACGTTCTATCAAGATAAGGCTCCAAGCCATACTTCTATACACTATGGTGAGTTCGCTTTTTCCACTTTGTCTGTTCTAATAGAGCACCTAACTTGTAACTTTGTACATTACGTAAATAATTAAATATTTGTGTGGCCTAACTTAGCCAGTTTGATTTTGGAACCAGCGCCATTATCTCTCGTAATTCATCGCTCGTAGTTATTACCAAATATAAAATTGGTCAGCTTGCGGAGATTGTTTTGTTTTTGTTAATTAAGTTTGTATTAGTATAGAATGGCCACTATAGTTGCTTTTAATTGAAAGAAGGGTTCACTCAAAGCCTAGTTAACCAGAATAGAGACTGTCATAGTGGATAGTTCCAGCACATGCACTAAAATCAAAATAGATGCCAAGCTCAAGGTCTTGGAAATGATGTCTGTTGCATTGGATACACTTTGATCAGAATATTATAAGCTGTGCCTGAAAAGGATGATACTTTTGAAATTGAAGAGGAATTATTAGATCTAGAAGCAAGAATCGACGATCTAGAGGTAAGTTTCAATCAAATGTTAATTGATAATGTTGCTAGTATTAATAAAGTTCATATCATAAAGAGTAGTTGTAAAATAAAGTTACCTGAAATTCCACTTCCGCAATCTAGCTGAAAGTATGAAGAACGGAGCATGTTTAAAATTGAATTTAATAATATGTTGCTACCTCGAATATTCAATTAACAGATGCACAAAAGCTACATTATCTGCATGCTGCTCTTAAGGGAGAAGCAAAATTGTTGAAAACTCAGGAAGATACTTTTGAATCATTATTTAGAGCTTTAGAAAATCGCTTCGAAAACAAGAATTCTTGTTAATATTCACATTAAAGCTATATTAGAATTTGAAAACAATTATTCATAAATCATCCAAAGAATTAAGCCGTCTATTAAATGCTGTGAATAAAAACATTAGAGCTTTAAATAATTTGGGTTTCGAATGAAACAAATTCTCTGATACTTTAATGACTACTGTCATTTTAGAAAAAACAGACAAGGAAACTCGAAAGCAATTTGAATTATCTATAAACACTTCAGATAGTCCTAATTTTGAAAACTTGATGACGTTTTTTAAAAAACAACAATTATTCATAAATCATCCAAAGAATTAAGCCATCTAGTAAATGCTGTGAATAAAAACATTAGAACTTTAAATAATTTGGGTTTCGAATGAAACAAATTCTCTGATACTTTAATGACTACTGTCATTTTAGAAAAAACAGACAAGGAAACTCGAAAGCAATTTGAATTATCTATAAACACTTCAGATAGTCCTAATTTTGAAAACTTGATGACGTTTTTTAAAAAACGAAGTCAGGCTTTGAAAAATATCCCTCCCCCCAAAACAAACGAATGAAATAAAAACAAAAACAAAAAAAAAAAAACTTCTTGTTCATGCAAATAATTCGGAAAGAAATTGCATTATATGTAATTCGCCACATTCTCTTTTTAAATGTAGTAAATTCTTTGATATGAATTTTGGTGAAAGATTTACACTAGTAAAGAGAAATAACTTGTGTTTGAACTGTTTGGGAAAAAAGCAGATTGTCTTGCAATGTAGACTGAATTATGTTTGCAATGCAGTCAAATACCGAAAACCAGCGAAATAATTTTGGAAATACCGAAAAAATTTTGGAACCAGCGTCATTATCTCTCATAATTCCTCGCTCGTAGTTATTACCAAACATAAAATTGTGGCATAGGCAGCAGGATTCAAAACTGTGCCGGGAACCCCAATGGATTTCGAATCCGGCCGACTACGCCACAATTTTATGTTTGGTAATAACTACGAGCGAGGAATTATGAGAGATAATGGCACTGGTTCCAAAATAAAACTGACTAATATTTACACAAATATTTAATTATTTACATAATGTACAAAGTTTCAAGTTAGGTGCTTTATTAGCACAGACAAAGTGGAAAGAGCGAATGCACCATAGGTCCGCTGCATACATTCTACAACTACTAACTAACTAAATTTTTGTGTGGCCTAACTTAGTCAATTTTATGTTTGGTAACAACTACGAGCGATGAATTACAAGTAAAATAAAAATAAAAAATGTCCAGGTGTTAACGCATTAAAATCCATTGCATCTAGGTTGAAGAATGTACACAGTGGACCTAAGGTGCATTCGCTCGTTCCAATTTGTCTGTGCTAATACAGCACCTAGCTTGTAACTTTGTAAATTTGTGTCAATTTTATGTTTGGTAATAATTATGAGAGATAATGGCGCTGGTTCCAAAATAAAATTAAGTTAGGCCACACAAATATTTAATTATTTACATAATGTACAAAGTTACAAGTTAGGTGCTCTATTAGCACAGACAAAGTGGAAAGAGCGAATGCATCATAGGTCCGCTGCGTACATTTTACAGCTACTAACTAACTAAATTTGGCTCCTCTTGCAAGAGGGCGCTGATCTGGAGGGTGCTATATTAAATCGAATAACATCTAAATCTACTGAATTTTAAAAAATGAGAAATGAAACTGGAATTGAAGCTATTCCCTTTAAATGCATCCAACCCAAGTGTCTCCTATGGATTACTGTGCATTTGGAGTTTTAAAGCAAACTCTTGATAAGAGACATCCTAAAACATTGGATAGAATCTGGAAGATTGTGAAAGAGGAGTGGAATAAAATCAGCATTGATGTTTTAAGAAAAGGACTTTTATCTTGGAAATCAATATGTATTGCACCATAACTCCTTTGGCAACTCTGCATCCCACTCCAAACCTCTCTCCCATATTTCCTGCATCAGTCTCTTAACTCGCACCACAAATGGAGAAATAAATCTGACTGGGTCAAACACCTTAACTGCTGTGCTTAACACCGATCTTTTACTATTTCTCAACGATTCTAAACTACTCAACAATGATGTAACGTCTACTCTCAAACCATCCTCTTCTAAGTTCCACACCAAGCCTAACACTTTCAACCAACTATCTCTCTTCTAAGTTCCACAGCATGTTATAGAATAATTATTTAAAGAAATGAAAATTTTAGGTTTATTCAAATATTACACATTTTTAGAGTGATATTTGTTCCTGTTAGTTCAACAAAAGGGCTATTAGGTTGAACATATTAAAATTCTAAGATTTGTTTATACATAAATCTTTGCAAAATTGTTACAAAAACACATGAACACTCTCTGTATATACACATCATTTCCACTGCAGCTGAAGAGAAAAGAAAATGGAAACAATTGAAAATGTTTTACCATTAAAAGAACACTTTATTCAAATTTGTTGCATATTTCATTGGTACACATAATTTGCCACTTTTAAAAAGTTATATTCTTTAAATCTTAAAAATCAAGCTTTGGATAATTGAGAAAATGCTTAATTCGAACAAAAATGTGAATAATTATTGCATGCACCAAGTAATCCAAATAGATCGATAGTTGGTCCGATAGACAATAGTATAGTTGATTTAATTTCTTGGAGCAACTTTTAGAAAACTCATTTTTATACAGTATTATATTCATTTTGATTTGAATTCCCCTTTTGCAAAGAAGCAAGTTTGGTTAAGAAATCAATATTTTAAAATGAACATAACACAAGAAATGTGATGTTTGTTTTATTGCTTCATGACAAATGTACTTGAAGACATTTTCTCAAAATACAATTTTTAAATTATTAAAAATTACACAATACATACCTTCTTCCTCAGTAAGTTCTCTCCCACAGACCCTTTTACACATAGCATAAAAGCATCTGTAATATTCAGCAAGTGTTTCATCAAATTTTCGTTCCAGTCGTGCAATGCCACGAAATCTAGCCCAATTATACTCTTTTTTCTCTTCATTGTATTCAACACCAAAAGATGAAATGGTGCGATAGAAATCAGCTTCTTCTCTACGAGACCATTTCCTAGACACCAATAAAAACAGTCACAATGATATATAATAAAAATCACATTTACAAAAACTAATACAAAATAATTTCATACCGCTGCTGCAATTCCCTTTTTTTCAATTCTCTTTCTCTTATTGCTGCTTCAAATTTCTCCCGTCTCTCAATTTTCTGCAAACATTAAAAAGGAAAACTGTTAAAAAAATAACCAGTCTTTCAAACTATGAGCTAAAGCAGAAATTCAAGCCTTGTACTTCAATAAAGATTCACACTTAACTCCGTATCATACTCCAGCAGCCCTTCAAAGCTGTAACAATTACTGTTAAGATGATTTTCATTTAAAGATCCTATGGTTAAATGCTATGGTGTGTTCAAGATAATAGCATAACAGAACAAATATTACGGTTTACTTGCTTTTGGCCTTTATGATTCCTTCATGCATTTTTGTAATATTTTCCAAAGAATGCAAGTAAAATTCTCCGTTAAAACTTTTCATCAGCTGATAATTCTCAAACATTTGTAAACTAATATGATGAGTTATGCTACAACATCATTGTCAGAAATTTGCTTACAATTCTCAAGGTTTTTATAAACTTAAATCAGAATTTGAAGTAAATTTTTAGCTTTTATGCAAGCAGTTTTAATACAAAACATACGCATAGTAGTATAAACTCTGATGTTGATAATCATAAAAAAAGCAATCACATTTATTCAATTACTTGATAGAAAAAAAAAAAAAAAACCTATTGGCTAATTTGAGATTTCAAAATTTAGCTTTCATTATTTTGTAATATAACTTTAACTGACATGGAAATGAAATAATGAATGACACATAAAATAAAAAATCAAAATCACTTTGATGGTTCTCATACAAACTAATTAAACAGCATCAATTACTTTAAGTCAACTTCCTTTTAATTTGCTATATAAATAGCATTTTGAGTTATTAAATGCAAATTAACTTTAATTTAAGTGCTTAAAGTAACAGAAGTAAATCAAAAATTGTGAACAAAGACCTTAACAGATAAGCATGCCATGGACACATACTGCAGAAAACTACAACATTAATGCCTGATTTTTTCAGTTAGAAGATGACTACATGTCGAGAAACCTAAAATATTTATACATTTAACAGATTCTTTAGTGTAATAAATTCTGCATTCTTTTACTTAGCCTCAGCCTTTTTAACTGGTAACAGTACCAATCCTAGACCACTGGCCGCCCATGTGCAAATAAAACTGGCCGCCCTCTTTCACAGAAATACAATATGTCCGATAATCATTTTACTGACCTTAAATTTAAGTGCTTAGAGTAACAGAAGTAAATTAAAAATTGTGAACAAAGACCTTAACAGATAAGCATGCCATGGACACATACTGCAGAAAACTACAACATTAATGCCTGATTTTTTCAGTTAGAAGATGACTACATGTCGGGAAACCTAAAATATTTATACATTTAACCTTTTAACTGTCATGCCCGAGATAATCTCGGGCACAGCACTGGTGTTCGAAAATGTCACGCCCGAGTATTACTCGGGGTAATTTTTTTTTGAGTGCATCGTATTGTTATACCCGAATATATATCGGGAGACGTTTATTTCGGCTTCATCTCTTTGTCAAACCCGACTGTATCTCGGGAAAAGTTAATGTGCGCTCAGTTCAATAGATGACAGCACTTTACTGAAGATTTCAAAGGTTAGAGGTTATAAGTTCTTTGGTTCAAAGTGCATGGGATCTTTTTGTTGTAAAATGGCGTCCAGTTCTTTGAAACGTTATATAGATGATTTAGATTCTTCAACCGAAGATGAAGGATGTGTGTTTGATGAGCAGTATTCATGATACTTCCATGGTCAGCCTCAAAAATAAAAAATGGAGATATACTCAAGCCGAAGATTGTTTCTAATTACGGTCTAACTATGGGTGGTGTAGATCGCTGTGATCAGGAAATATCCTTTCATCCAACAATCCGAAAACGTCAGAAAAAATATTATAAAAAGATATTTTTACATTTACTAGACAAGGTACTCTGGAACTCATATTTGCTCTATAAAAATGTAGTTGGGAAACGTATTACATTTTTAGAATTTCGAATCCAAAGTTGTAGAAGAGCTTTTACATAAATATGATGATGCAGCTTCTGGACAAAAGAATGTTGGCAGACCACCTACAATAGATAACCCTGCCCGTCTTACTGAACGACATTTTATATCCCATATTCCTCCTACTCCTGCGAAACGTGCGCCTACAAGACAGTGCAAAGTGTGTTGTTCGAAAAAGGATAAAAATGGGGAAAAGATAAGGAAGGAAACACGATTCTGGTGTAGTGATTGTGGAGTTGGTTTGTGCTTGGAAAAGTGTTTCCAGTTGTACCACACAAGACTGAATTACTGAACTACTAATAGGTATTCACTTATATTTATTTATTTTTTAGAAAATAATTAATTTTTTTCATTTTTAGAAAATAATGCTCCACTAGAAGCGAACTTTACAACTGCCATGTTGAGTGGCAGCCGCCTCAAGCAAATATGCAGTGGCTACCAAACTTTAAAAATTTTACCCATGTACTTCAAAATATCAATTTTTAACTACTTAAGTATATTTTATTTTGTACTAAACATTTGATTTTTGCAATAAAAAAATGTGACAATTTGTGTACCCAAATCATCAAAATAATTTGACAGTTAAAGGGTTAACAGATTTAGTGTAATAAATTCTGCATTCTTTTATTTAGCCTCAGCCTTTTTAACTGGTAACAGTACCAATCCTAGACCATTGGCCGCCCATGTGCAAAATAAAACTGGCCGCCCTCTTTCACAGAAACACAATATGTCTGATAATCATTTTACTGCCCTTAAATTGCACTATCCACATGCTGTGCACCCTCTTAACCCCCCTACAGGATCAGCTTTGATTGTAATATATATTTGAAAGAAAATTAACCAATAAAAATTCAAATTGTAGAAAAATAACCAATACGTATGAGCAAGATAAAAAACAAGAGCAATTTATAACTACGTAAAATTTCAGTATGTATCCCTACACACATATATAGGATTAAGAAACTTTCAATAAAAGAAACAAAATTGTCAAAATTTGCAATCCAGAAAACTGCAGTTTTAGAGCTCTATTTTTCAATTATCAAATGAGGAATATTAAAAAGTATAACATTTACCACTTTTATTTCTAAATGAATGTTACATAAATGCTCATTATGTTTATTAAATCAAGCAATAGCATAATCATTAAATAATGTGCACAAAAGCAAATTTTTTACTCACAGATAAAACTCGTGACAAAAATTATTAAAAACAACATAATATACAGGAATATGCCAAAAATTTTAAATGATATAAAAAAACTAAAAAATAATATAAAATACAACAGAATGACCAACATCCACACTATTCAGACTTTTTGGATCCAAGTTCTTATTCAGACCAGCACAATGTAATTTTAAGGGCCATTTGGAATATTTGGGGGGGGGGGTAAAAATACTTAATATTTTAATTGGCAAAGAAAATATATGAAACCCTGTTCCCCAAGAGAAGATTTTCTTTGTATGCAATTCTGCAAAATGTTTTTGGGCATAGAAAGCTTAACAGGATCTTCTGCTTCTTCTTCCTTTTTTTTTTTTTTTTTTAAGCCCCAAGTATGTCACGGCTGTTCCTACATATTCAAACATGTCGGTTTTCAATAGGCCTTTATGTGTAACATAATACTAGACACATTTTCCCTGATTTTTTGTTCTTCCAAAACAGATGATATACCATCAGCACTTAAAATTTAACATACTCGATCATCAACTGAACTTTCAATCATCCATTCATTTTATTTTCATCATAATTTACATTTCTTCTAATGTCTCATAATTTAGATTTCTTCTAATGTCTTTCATATCAACTACTTTGTATGGCTCACTTTTATTATTTTCATTTCACCCTGTTTAATTAGTTGCTTTTCTTCCCTTAGTGTGTGAAAGCCATGTTTTGTGCAATAAAATGCAGCTTTCTCTGAAAAGAATACAATTTTCTAAATAGTTTAAATTCCTAGTTTGATCTTAAAACTGCAGTTTTCAGATAACAGAAATAATTTTATTGTACCAATATGATAACTTTAATGTACTAATAAAGTGTAAATTGAAACATAAAATTATAATTTTTTTCTACTTTGTTAAAATGGAAATGCAATTACTGCTAGTTAAAATACAAAATTACTCAAAATAACAAAACAAGATAGCAATAATTTCAATACATAAAAAACTAAATGGTATGTTTATAAACATTTTAACTTAAATATACTGCAGCTAAAAATTTATTTTAAAAATACCCGAGCCTTTTGCGCATTTCTAATTTCTAACTTCTTGTTGTTCCGCTGAAAGGCTGTAACTAGCCTTCGCACTCTGGTATTCACATCAGTTACTGAAGGAAACTGAATCACTCCCATTTCATATCCTACACATTTAAAAAAAAAAAAAAAAAAAAAAAAAAAATTAAAATATTAATTACAAAGCAAACCTGGAATATCATTTCATTTACAAGAATCATCTATCTAAAAACTATTTGAAAATAAACAAAACTGCAGCATTAGAATATGTATTCTTTAATAGACAAATTTTATTTTAACGAGGGAAAAATACACTCTTATGAACGCATTAAATATTTAAAAATATACGAGAGACGAGAAAAACATTCAGGGATAGAATGATCACCCTATTCTATTACATTACAAAAATTAATATTTTAAACTATATAAGCAAGATTAGCTACTTAATATCATTTATATAACACATCACGTACCATGAGTTAAATAACTATTTGAATTGTTTGGAACAGTTTTTGGTGGATCATTTTCACTGCTAGGAGACAAAGGCTCCATATCTTCATCTTTGTCTTTTTGAGCAGTCTGATCTTCCATATCATCTTCATTACTTATCCTAAAACAAAATAATAATAATAAATTGTATTTATTGAAAAGTATCATGCTAAAAATAAACCTAGAAACAATGAAACATCAGTTGACAGCACTTAAAACTGTTAATTAAGAATTAAGTACAAATAAGAGTTTCATTATAGAGAGTACAGGATACAGACACTCAAAATTATTTTGATAAAATCAGGAAGTTAACTACAAGCTGTTTCAATACACAAAAGTGTGAAAAATGTTTTACTTCTGTAACAAGATAAACTTCATAAAAAGTATAAAATATGATACTTCAAAGTCACTATCTTAGCAATTTAAAATTATTCCATCACTCTTTCATTTGATTTTGTATTTCTTTTTAGCATTTAGAACGGTGCTGTCAAACTAGCAGCCCCTGAAGCAATTTTTCAAGCCCCATGTATACATTTCAGTTATGTATTTGTTAATATAGTCCTTATACACTATCCAACATAGAAAATGCAATGCCGAGAAGGAGTGGCCCCCAAAAAAGTTATGCAAATTTCAGGGCAGACGCATGCCACTGAGTTATGCGAATGATGTAAAATGTGCAGCTCTCCAGCACACGTTGAAGAAGATAAGGGAAGAAAGCTACAGAGTGTTAAATTTTTGTGCTGTTATTTCTGCTTCATCATAGAAAATTTGTTCTTGTCTCAGAGGATACGTGTAATAGCAGAGAATGCCAAGCCTTCATTAATAAGGCAGTTCCAACAGACAGACGATTTTATGAAGGGCATGGTGATCAGACTGAGAAGAGCAGGTCCATATGGCACACCTCAGCTCACAATGGAGAGCCATTCCTCAGGACACCATCTGTAATCTCATTAACTCTGTATCTAGACGTGTTGCTTTGTGTATCACCATCCAAGGTGATCTTACAACCTACTGAGTTGATGCAGTTTTCGCTCTGTATTGCACATATCATTTAGAAATAGAGATCGCTTATTGTCTCTCTCTTCTCACAGAATTTTTCTTCTGTTACAACCAGTAAATTTTGTCAATCAGCAATTAGTCGTGATTCAGTTGTCTGGTATTTCTGTTTTTTCCTGATGAGCTAGCACTTCTGATACATACTATATGCAGTTCACTATATACAGATGGAGACAAAGTAACATTTCTGGCACTGCTGAAACTTTTGAGACAGGATACTGTTCAAAGCCATTATCGTAGTTTTTATTATTATTATTATTATTATTATTATTATTTATTGACTTCATCTATATCACTGAATCGCTTTCCTTTCAGACTTCTCTTCAACCATGGGGGGGGGGGGGAAGACGGAGCCAGATAGGGTGAGAAGGGTGGATGAGGGCCACACACCATGTTTTTGTTTGCGAAAAACTATCGGGCCATCAACGCTGTGTGGACTGGAGCTTTGTCATGGTAAAGCAACCAGTTCCCATTTCTCCATATTTCGGGCCATTTTCTTTGCACACTCTCTCATAATCTTCGTAACACATCCAGGTAAAAATGTTGGTTCACTGTTTGTCCTGGCAAACAAACCTGGACAATGCCATCACATCACATAAAAAATAAAGTTTAAAAAAAAAAAAACATTATTTTCACATTGAATCGCACTTGATGTGCTTCCTTTTCTTGTGAATTTGAACTTTTCCACAGGTTTGATACTTGCTTTGATTCTAGATTGTATCCGTAGCATCAAGACTGATCCCTAGTCACAATTCTTTTAAGCATTCCCTGAAGCAATTTTTCAAGCCCCATGTATACATTTCAGTTATGTATTTGTTAATCGTTCTGAACTTCACTCTTCAAGTCACGGCAAACATTCACGTGGCTTTCTCTTTGGTCGTCACTGAGCAAGCTAGGGCCAAATTTGGAGACACTCTCTCATGTGCAAACCTTCTGTTAAAATTCACTGAACCATTCTCCATGGCATGTTTGTTAAATCAGAAAGTTGGCCAGTGATCTTTTGTTAATCTTCATCAATTGATTTTTGCAAATGTTTTTGTCATTTCCTGATGAAGGACACTCAGGGTGTGGCATGTCTTTAGTTGATATGTTGCCAGATTTAAAATGGGAAAACCACTCATAAACCTGTGATAATCCCAAAGCATCATCATTAAAGCATCCCAACAGTCTCTGCTGCAGTTTTTCCAAACAGAAAAAAAAAAAAAATTTACATACACACTTTGTTCCTTGTAGTCGGCTATCTCGCTAATCACCAAAGGATTGAAACAGGGACATGAACAACAGAGCACCACAAACAGGCCAATGAATTCAGACTGATGCCAGCTCACTAACAATCGCGGGACACTGTCAACTAACACCACTTAACAGCACAACTCATAACTGCAACATGTGCGCGCGCAACAGGTCAAGTTCAGCTATTTTTGGGTCCCCCTCACACACACACACACACACACAATTATATATGTATGTATGTATATATTATATATTATATATATATATATATATTCAAAGCAAATTTTAATATATACAAGAAAGAGAATAAGTTGTTCTTATTTATTCTCAAGCTCTGTCAACCTTGGAAAGCTCTCACTGTACGTCGAAAATGGCCACCAAAGAAAAAGGAAAGGAGAGAAAAACCAGACAGTTCTGTTTTCAACAAATGTCACGTAGAGCAATTTTTTAAATTTTTTTTTATTGTTTTTTGGTTGTTGTTGTTGTTATGCTGAAATTATACATGATTTGAAACTGGGAACAAGAGTTTAGATTCTAAAAAAAGGGGGGGATGTTGGCTGCAATTCCTTTTCAATCGTCTTTATTGTGTAGGTATATTTTGTAACTGTGTTTTCCAAGCTCAACATGTAAGATTTATTTGGAATAAAAATGTCTCCTTGGAATATAAATTTTAAGCATAAATCGATGAAACTTTGACTAGGCAAAGCTTGGCTCACATTTAGAACCTCTGGAAGGAAAAATGAACCTTTTTTCTTAATTTAAAGTTTTGATGGAAAGACAAGCAAGAAATTTGCTGTTAGTTTCTTTCAGTTTTCAAAACTGAAAACTTGAAAAGCTTTCATGAGTTATTTTTAGTTTAAGCAAGTCATTCACTAGTTCATTCGGAATATTCAAATTATTTAAAATATAAGTCAGTCTGAATATTTAATGATTAGTTGCTGATACATTTAATTACAAAGTTTAATTAATCGATATCTCCTGTTAGTGTCAATCTTTAGATTTCAGATTAAAAAACTGAATTTTTTTCAATGCATAATTTTTATTGCTGTTCATGTGTGCTTTGATAAGTATTCAATGAGTGAAATTTAAAATTTTGTTAAAAAATTAAATATTGCTAAAAAAATCAAATCTGTCAGCTGTTTTCCGATCATGCATTCATATGCTACTTGAATTTAAGAATATTACAAATAATTTTGTAAATATACAAATGAATGTTATTTCAATTAGCATTAAACAATTAAACAAGTAATCAATTAAATTTTACTTTCCTTTTAATTTCTTCCACTCATCATTTTAATATTTGAAACTTACCACAACAATGTTGTTTTTCAGAGAAATTTTTAACTGCTACATAAGATTTTTCTTGCATGATCCAATTGTGAAAAATAAAAATTAATTTTTAATAATAATAATGGCTTTATAAGGTTTGATAAAACTAGTGTATTTGCAACCATTTTCCCTGAATATGTATGCATCTAATAATGATATCTTTTCAGCCAAGAAAAGCACATTCTGCCATATGAGAATGAAGCTGTGACCTGCATCAGAGAATTGTATTTTGATGAAAAGTTTTAAAAGCAATTTTTGTTCCAGTAACTGTTGTTAATTCTGCCCTATGACAATACCTTATGAGAATACTGTGATAATTATTTACTTAAAAGATGCAATATACCCCATTATAACTTTCATGGATGCAGAAATATTACAATATTGAAATAAGTATTCTAAATTCCTTGTCTCCAGCTCCTGTCTGTTTTCAGACTGAACCATTCATAAGGTTTGGTTACCTGATTAATGCAAAGCATGCTAGGGCTATCTATCTGTCTAATGGACAGGATGACTTTGCTGAGAACTTTCTAAAGAAAACTGGCTCATGCCCATATTACACATGGGGAAAATTCAAACAACCAATGATCAGTGACAATATTATTTAGATGGAAGCAACATATAAGCATAATCAGAAAGCAATTTATTTTAAATAACTTGGCAATAAATACCAGGTGAAACTGATTTCATGACTATATAAAAGTGGTTATGCTACTCAAAGTTCATTTAGAATATGTACATCATTTAAATATAATGATATAATTTAGGAAACGTCCCTCAATTCAAATGAGAATTATAGTAGAATTCTCTGCTTCCAAATTCTTTACTAAATTCCTACCAATTTATGACTAAAATTTAGAAAATTTTCGTTGACAGATGTTTTCTAGGCAACGAAATCCCCACTATTTTCTCCCCCAAATTCAGAAAAAAAAAGGTCTTAAAAACCTCAATAAATAAAATCTCATAATATAACAATCACATAAAGAAATCAACACAAATAAAATCACAGTGGAAAAATACTTTTCATTGTTATAATACGAATCACCCTGTGCACGAAATGAGTACAAAGAATACCTGGTTTCAGCATAAAATTTCAAGTTATTTTTAACAGAGCTTCTACTTTTTTTTTGTAGTTTAAAAAAAAGCAAAGAGAGATGATATGAAAGCGCAAGATAATAATTACATAAACCATTAGTAGAAACATCCCCAAAAAGATTCAATATGAAATTTAATAGACTGAGTCTTTGTGTAAACTAATACTTACACATTAAGTTCTGCTAATAAGGCTGCGCCATCAGGAGGACCACAACGTGACAAGAAACACAAAGTTGGATCTTGCCTCATGATATTGTATCTTTCAAAACCTGTAGACCGTGAAGAAAATTGGAAAACATTAACACAATGAGATCGTATTATTTCTAGCAAATTATATTACATTTAAAATTACAATCAAATATGAAACATGTTACAAGACAATTACAATAATATGTGCACAAGTACTTTCAAAGCATTCATTCTGCTTTTTACCCTGAAACCAAGTGACGAATATATGATTATTTAGACTTTCTATCAGAATTTTAAATGTATCTAAAATAAAAAATATGCTGTGTACATGATGAAAGAGCATACATTAAAAAAAAGGGGGGAAGAGATTTCAGAAGACTAAATAAAAATATTATACTTGAGTTTCCTAATGGATTCAATAACACACACCTTTTATGGCAATCTCTAGCTTAGGAAAGCATTCGAGAAATACAATTAAATCTAGACATAAAAAATCTTCCAGAACAATGATACAATTTATTAAATTATTATTAATTAATTTGGGAAATTTAAACAACATACAAGTTCATAACGATACAAAAATTACATACTCACATGAGCTCTCAAGTAAAAAGCATAAATGAAAGGTATTTTATACACAAAGTATAATGACAGAAATTAATAATTTATTTATTTTGCAAGATACATTATTGTTTAAAAACTTGGAAATATTTAACTGCTAATTTTTATTAGACAGTTTTAAAAATTAATCAGTTTGTATTATATTAAACTACAGAATTGGATCTTAAGTAATCAACATAAAATATGCAAACTAATCACATCATATTTAAGACAAATTTTATTAGGAAAATGCTGAAATTTTAAAACATACCATGCTTGTATATACCCAACAACAGACTCTTATCTAGTTCTTGATCCCACCATGGAGTTGGTGGCTCCCCATCAGCAGGAGGGACAAATAGAGGAATCTCACTATGGAAAATAGAAAAAGGTGTTTTCAACCATGATTCTAAAATTAATGAATCCGTATGAATAAAAATTTCTTTTCATGCTTCAGCTGACATAAAAAAAAATTTAAAAAAAAAAAGAAAGAAAGAAAGAAAGAAAAGGGGGTGTAGTTTATAACTCTTGAGAACTAATAGCTTTACCCTATTGATTGAACTAACAGAAATATTTTCTGCAAAATCTTGATATGCAGTTTAATACTAGTTAATAATGCTTAGAATACTTGGATGAAATTCTGCGCATCAAAAACTGTTTATATATTTGTTACTTTTTAAATATGCTACATATTATGCATCAACCTAAAATAAGTCTGAATAAATTTTAAAACAGTGATAATTACAAAAAGGAGGGGGAGAGGGACAGAGATTAATTCCTTGACTGTTCTTTCAAAAATTTTATAACATTATTTCCTACTTAAAATATCAACTTTTTCTTACTGCTGTACTGAATAATATCACAACTTCATTTCTCACATTCATCAAAGCAAAAACGTTTTAGATTTACTAAAATTTCTACTGTGTCTTATTCTCTCCAAAATTATCAAATGAAAATTCTTCTCAAGATATCCTCCTAAATTTACAGTTTCTAAAATTCAATAATTTAAAATTAAATGACTTATAGCAGTAAATAACAAGCATATATAATTTGAACATATATGTGTGATAAAATGCTAACAAAACATTTTGAAAACATTTTTTTATAACTATATGATAAACTGAATATTTAAAAAGATATATGTTAACCTAATTAGATTTTCCATTAAATTTCTTTTTCAATATTAACACATTGCAAACTCATCACCCTCCCTAACGAGACAGAGATGTCGGGAGTTGCTACGTGGAAATACAAGTTAAAAAGAATGGGCAATTCGTAAATTTATTCTCTAAACCATTTGAAAATCATTTAAATTTTAAATAAAAAATCTTCTATGACCCTATCACTGAATAGCACTGTTTCGACATTAATAAAAAATTTTGTTATACTTAAAAGATGTTAAGATAAAAGACACACAATTAATTAATAATCTATATAAAAAAATGCACATAAAAATGCATATAGAAAAGTGTCAAACTCAACCTTAAAAATTCAGACTAAATTATATATAAGTCTCATTTTTGCTCCAACAGAATCAATTTTCATATATTTTTAAGAATCGTTTCTGATATTTTCTTGCTATTTTTGCCCCCCTATCATCAGTAAAATCTGTCAGTTTAGCAAAGTTATTACATTTAATTACAATATTCAGTTTTGAAATAATTTCTAAAACAACAATGCAAGGGGAAAAAATTGTTTAAAAAAAATCATTCTTTCATCAAACACTTAAAAACTCTTATCAGTTCCTGACTACTGCAGATATACCCAACAGTAAACTAAAATTATTATGTTCTTTGATAAATACAATATCTTTCAATAATATCTTCCCCCCCCCAACATCAAAAATATAATGAAGCACTGTACAAAAAATTCAATTATTGCATGAATTAAGATATATTTATGCAAAAGAAAATGAAAATTAATAAAAAAGAATGCATAAATTTGATACTGTGTGTGTGAACAGGATGCATAAAATACATATTTTAAAGCAAAAAAATTTCATTCCTTTACTAAATACTATAAATTCTATGGCAAGAAAAGCAAACCATTTAAAAATGGAGCAAAATTTCATTTTACAGACAAAATTCTTTTATTAAAAAATGTAAGACAAAAAGTAAGTCAACAAACACGTTTGTAAGTTAATAATCCAAAATCTTATAATTACATAAAAAAAATAGAAATTCCTTTTCATTTGCTCTAATCACATATATTTGTAGCAATTATTGTCTCTAAATCAGCGGTTCTCAACCTTTTGACTTACGTGTACCAACTAAAACAAAAACTGTAAAAACTTCAATATCGCTATGATATTTTACAATCATTATTCTTCAATTTCTCAATAGAAATATTAAAAAATATATTGTAACCAATCCTTTAACATAAACTGTTGGAATAACTGTGACGACAAGTCTGCCCTCTGGTGAGTAGCCAGAGAAGTACTTCAGTAAAAGGCAAGGCTCCCACTTGATAGGTTGTCCCAGACTTTTGCTCTGTAATTTTTTCTTAAAGTTAAATGTAATGTCCGTGTGTAACTTAAACCTGTTAATAAATACTTGTTACACTATACAGGATTCTTCTATGACCCTATCTAAAACGACCCCTTTACAATATACATTTTGCATTTAAATAACCTATTAGCTATTTGTATTAAATATGTACACATAAAAAAATATTAGATTAAAAATCGGTTACCATTTCAATTATCAAAATTTAAGTTACAATACTTTAATTATAAAATTTAATGCAAAATTTGGGCCTGTTTACAAGAGATCAACTTATTTGTCTGTTCTTATTTCACTTAGTTTTAACCTAAATTAGGATCCGCTCTTAATTTTGTTCTATATTTATTTTTCATACATAACATCTTGTTGACACAATGAGGTTGCAAAAAAAGGCAATAAAAACTTAATAGCTTTGTTTGAAATGCCTTTACATTCTTTTTTCGTTTAGCCAAAAGTTAAAAAGTGTGTTATTTTTGAAATCTTCAGTTAGAGTTCGATCACAGGAAATTTCTATCAGTTTATCCTCATGAGACAAAATTTCAGGTACATTAGAACAAGATTTCTAATCCAATTTCCTTTTTCATAATTTTCAGGAAAATACATGTTGATGCTAGTTATCAACGAAAAACAATGATTTTTAATGTTGGATGTTATTCTTCTGTTATTTTCAAATTATTTTTGGTTAGAAAACTTTCTAAAAGTAGTAAAAAGCTTAAAATATTATTATCCAATTCTTTGATTATTAGCTCGAGGGTTTTTTTTTTTTTTTCTTTCTTTTCTTTTTATCATTGCATTTATCTCCAATGTTAAACAAATTAAAACTTTGCCCTCGTAAACCTAAATTTAATTCATTGAACTTTTCAAAATTGGCTACTAAGGCTTCACAATGAACGGAAATGAGTAAATTTAGTTTCAGGTGTGACTTTCTTTATTTCAGAAATAACACCGGAATGTTTTCCTGTTAAAATGCAAGCTCAGTCATTGCATATGGCAATGCACTTATCCGAGGAATATCATTCTTAGACATAAAATTCTCAATTATTTGCAGTTGCTCTACCATGAACAGATTCACAAAATACTCTTTGCCAATTTGCTTATCTTCTTTAAAATGTACGTAAATAATAATGGAGCAAAGTGCATTATACCAGTACGTTCATCCAACTGCAATGTGATAATAATTGTATATCACATTGTGGTTGGATGATTTTTAATAAGTGTTTCTTTTATGGAATTTGCCATTTTATGAATTTCTCGACTTACTGTATCATTTGATAATGGACTATTATGATTTTCATTAGACATTTCTTCATTGAATAATGTTAAAATGATATCTTTAGCTGCTGGTAATATAAGGTTTTCTCCAATAGTGTCAGCATGTCCAGTCTTGGCAATTCTTACTAGGTTTCTGCTTAGTCAATTCTAGCCAATTTTCCATTTTTAAAATATAGGTTTATTTTATTATTTTTCAAAATATAGGCTTATTTTATTATTTTTCATAAATATTTAAATGCACAATATATTACACTGGTGTGCAAAACTTAAACAACAGCAGGGTTTTTTGCCATAACTCCACGAGAAATCAACTGAGAGACATGACATGCAGAAATTAAGGAGGGTATTATGTATGTAAAGGATGACGAAAGCATCGGAGCTGAAAAAGGAATGCAATGCATACTGTATGGAATCAAACAAAAACAAGCTTAATTGAACGCATAGTATCGTGACTCATGATTGTCTATCCAAGACGAAGAACAACAAGCAGATGTTCCTTAATATGGGATATGCCCTCCTCTCACTGCAATGGTTGCTTTGCACCGTCTCTGCATACTCAGAACCAGATGATGCAACATTTCTTGCGGTAGGAGTGCCCATTCCTCAATCAGCATCTGTTTGAGTTGTTGGGTGTTCTCCGGAGGATGTAAGTGCGCTGCAATGCGTCTCCCCAAAGCATCCCACAAATGTTCGATGGGATTTAAATCTGGGGAGCACACTGGCCAATCCATTTTCGAGTGATATCTTCACTTTCCAGTAGCTCCTCAACGGCAAGAGTCCGATGTGGCCGTGCATTGTCATCCATAAAAATGAAGTCTGGGCCAATGGCACCTCAGAACAGATGCACATGGGGAAGGAGTACCTCATCACAATAGCGATCCCCGTTACAGACCCTCTGTAAAAAACATGGAGCTCAGTTCGCCCGTTCAGCATAATGCCTCCTCACACAAGAACTCCAGGACCACCCTTACGGTGTCTTTCCTTGATGTTACTGGGATAAAACCGGGTCCCGACCTCTTTCCGTATCAAAACGCGTTGAGAATCATTTCTGGTACTGAACCGACTCTCATCTGTAAAGGGGACATGACTCTATTGATGAGTTGTCCAGTTTTTATGCTCTCTGCACCACTGTAAACGGTGGCGTCGGTGGCCAACTTTCAACGGGAGGCAGTGTTCAGGACAGCGGGCGAATAGGCCCCCTTTGTGAAAGTGTCTGGCCACAGTAAACCGCAACACTTGTCGCCCCGTTGCTGTACAGAGTTGCCGAGCAATAGCGCTTTCTGACTGCTGTTGGCCTCTTTTCGCCTGCAGGACGATATATCGGTCATCCCCTGAAGTTGTCGTCCTCAGGTGGCCACCACCAACCTTTCTAACAGCTGTACCCATGGTTTGGAATGCTTTCCAAGTGCGCGAAACAACACTTTAATTTATTCCGAAATCTGCAGCTACACTGGTGACAGTACGCCCCTCCTCCAGCTGCTAAATTTTTACATTGTTGCTTAAGTTTTGCACACCAGTTTACGAGTTCTTCAAACACAAGCGAGGATATTCTTAAATTGCGGAGAAAAGTAAAGAATACAAAGAAACAAGACAAAACAG